CATACAAGAAACATTCACTTTCCTTTTATAAAGGAGTTAAGGATACTGCCAGAAGAAAATGAATGATGGTGACTGGCAAGGTACCTGATATCATGGAGTTACCACGGTTCTAAATGACCACAATAATTTTAGACACACATCAGACCAGAGCAAACATAACACTTTCCCACAGTCTTGTTTTTTGGCAGATGCTCTATCTCTTAAAAGCTACTTCTAAACGCAGATGGCTATAAAAGAGCTAAGCAGCTGCCACCTTACCAATTGCTCTGCTGTCATTTGGGAGATTTCTACTGCTGGAGGTCTTCCCACTCTTACACAAATAACAGGGAAACAGAAAGAGCTAGCAGCCATTTCATAGCTCTGTAACTGTACGGTGACTTCCATTAAGCAGACAAACACCTACTGACTCCTACTGCCCTCCTGCTGTTCAGCGTGAGTGGGGTTTTGTGTTTGTTCATTTGTTTTCCTTATTTTGATATCAGAATCAAGATTAAAGTTCTATTATCCCTTACTAGTGAAGGCTGATTCTCACCACACGGCTGATTCCCAGGATAAAGTAGCCAACAAGCCATGTGGAATGTATCAATTTCCACCACCCATACCAAATAGATGCTAGACAGCATGGTACAGAACTGCATTTCCACACAGCCAGGCCTGATGGATAACATCACATCAATTTTCTGTTGTTCCAGGAACTGCCCGTTTAGGACAGGCATTACCTTTTAAGTACATGTCTGTATGGCACTTGATCCAACAAAACTCTAGATCCTTTGCTGGTGCCTGTGGATATTACCAGAGTACAAAGCAATACAATAAAAACTTATTTCAGTTTATGTTGTAACCCTTTCCCCTGAAAATTTTTTCAGACTTTGAAAGAGGAGCATATGACAGACGATTTAGGATATAAAAAAGGAATGGCCTTTCTGCAAGTCAGTGAGCACATACATGGAGAGAAGTTGGTCTGTTTGAGTAGGTCCTCCATTTTAATCAAATTTCTTCGACTATTTTCCCAGGTTCCCCACATCGCTTACTGAACTGCTGTGTCTCATTTTCCTCATGAGTAAAATTCAGATATCTTCTGATACCATTCCTAGCAGCAAAGCACTTTACAAGAACCGAAATCATTATTGCATTGCTTCTTTGTCATACCTGCCAGAGGCCAAGCGGCTCAATTCTTTCAGAAAAATAATAGTTTCATCTTCCCTCGCATTGAAAGATACAGTGTTGACTGGACAGGGGCCACCAGAAACCTTCTCAAGGAGTAGTTGCTTTGTGTCCACTGGAATATCACCCATGGCAAAGTAATAAATGGCTTCAACCTGTCATTAAACAGAAGAAAAATTGGAAATTCAAAGACATTGTTTTACATAGATGCCTGGTACTTATTCAAGCAGTGTCTTGTGCCAAGTACTGGTAAGAAAATTTGGTAAAACAGATGCATTACTCAGGCTACAAGATTTTCAGATCTTTGGTTGTCCTTCTCATTTACACTAGTAATTCAAATGAAATCCACACAAAATTTCCTGAAGTGAGAAGAGAACCTGGCCCACAGCCCTTGGGTCTGATTCTCCCAATGCAAGCCCCTTTCCACAGAAGTGAACTGAAACCAAAGAGAGGTGTAAGGAAGGAGAACTGTATTATTAGTCAGGACAAGGCTCTGTGCCACATTCCACTTCTATGAAGAGAGATGTTGTGTTGGTGCCTTGCTAGGGCTGAAAATCAGTAGGAACTTTCACACCACACATACTTTTACTGGCAGCATGTATTTTAAGGGTAGGAAAGATGCATCATTCTTTGAATGCTACGGTTGGTGTTTGCAGATAATTTGTATTTTTTTATACTTCCCAAGGCAGAGGGAGCTTGGCAGGTTTATTATGACCACACACACTTATATTCTGAAAATGTTACCGCAAGAAGAGTGAGAGGCTGAAGAAATATCCTTTAGTTATTGCTTGAGTATTACATTATTACATTATACTAAGGTTAAAGAGAAGAATGAATGTGTTTCATTGAAGTGCAAGATTAACAAAATACTAGCTGTAGAAAAAGATGCACAGAAACAAAATGAGAGAACTCTTGCACCTATCTGTACTTCAGTTCAGTTTTACAAGGTTCCCTCTCTGTTTCATCCAGCTAAAATGCTGAGCATACACACAGCTCTCCCAGTTGAGACCCAGTCTTTGGACAACACCTTGTCCTATTCCTTTTGCTGAAGAGGCTCCTGTCCTGGGGGAATGCATGCATATTGCACAATCACTTTTCTCTGTGTTCCTTCAGATTCACATCTTCTCCTCCTCCCTCCTACGACTGCCAATAATTCATAAACTTGGTATTCAATAAGGATATTAATTTTCACAGTTCCTCACAAGGATTTACTGCCTGCCTCTGCAACTTTTAAAATGCTGACGTTTCCTGGGCATAGCTGATGCAGAACCAACTCCTCACAAGAAAATAAACAAAACTGCTAACCACGGACAATTCACTCTACTTAACTACAAACCCAGCAACACCATACCACAAAGGAAATATTCCTTACAGACTAGTGGGGAAAGGTTAATACCTTTCCATTTAGTCATTCATATTTTGAAAATTATCATTTCTGCAGCCATCTAAACAAGCAAACCAACTTCATACAAGAACAGGAAGGAGAACAACATGAACAGTTCCTCACAGTCTTTACCTTGGTGGGAAGGTGTGTTCTGGATGGGTGACCACGCTTTGTGGATTGGCACCCGTACAGAACCACAAGTTAAACACTGCAGATGCACCTGTGGCAGGTAGAGCTCAAAGGATTGCAACCTGACAGCAGAGTTATCTTGAGTTTGGGACTGACAGGTCATGAGGAGAGGAAATCTGGGGAGTCAGCTCACACGGGAAAAAAAGATCAGCTAAAGGAATGACAGGAAGAGCCAAGTCTAGGGAAAACAGAGCTATTGTTTTGGGGCAACTTCTGTTGATGAAGCCAGTTCCGAGGAATGAGTCATTTACAACTGTCCAGTGAGCATGCAGCTTTTGCCTAGGACTGATTGGGGTCTCCCCCAGCCTGCAGTACAGTGAAACTTGCACTCAGGTGAACTCTCAGTTATGAATGATAACGATTATATTGAGGAGTAATTGAAGTTTGTTTCATGTTGAGCACCTGCCACAATTGACTCCCCCAGATTGCTCATTAGCCCACCAATGTCCAGAAAAAAATAATAGATGTCTCACTGTTGCATAGATTTTAATTTCTGTTTATTCATATGCAGACCCACCAGGTCCAACAACCCTTTTTTTCAACCAGACAATACTGAAATCTAAATACGATCTTTTTTGTTTCCCACCAGGAAATCAGTAATATACTGCAAATTGAAAATGTTAATAAAATTTATGAAGGAGGCACTTAAAAAAGTAGTCATAAAAAATCTCACTGTTGCACAATTTGTTCCTCAGCCAGTTCCTTTTTAATGTCAGTTTCCAAACATCAAGGTTCACCTGGATGAGAATCCACCAGCACAGGGAACCAGAAGGAAACTCAAGCCAAATTTACCTTCTCCTTCAAACAATGTCTCAGAATGTGATTTACAAAGGAGTTAGGATTGGATCTGTGCACAGGGATGGATCTTAATGGCAGTCAAAACCAATGATTCTAGTCCACCCACAGTAGGCCGAATATTCCATTAAATTCAGGTGCGAGGGAACTGAAACAATGTACATTGTAAGCAAATTTCATAAAATATATCTTTAACACCACAAGTTTTAAGTGACTAACTCAAATGATGGCATACATATTCTACATCTTGTGACTCTACTATAATGAATAAAGTAATATGGTACTTTTGGAAACAGACAGAATTTAATTGCAGCGATACCTGTGCATGCTTTGTCTTTTTGTCCTGGAAGAAACTCTAGCTATAACCTGGATGATGAAAAAGGATTTGCATATCCCTACCATGAGTTAATGCTTAAATAAACCTCTGTACTTACTATTTTGGACTTTAAATTTAATTTTTTGCGAGCACTCTGGATACATAACAAAATAAAAATGGTTTCCCTGTCTTCAATAATGTTGATACTAGCAATTTTCTCATAAATTTGAAGCCCTGAAGAACACACATGGCAAAGAAAATGGAAGGGAAAATGTTTTCTCTTTCCCTTTTTTTCCCTTAATGACTGAATATGTTATTTATTCTGTGTACTCTAGAAAAGAAAATAAACAAGTTTCTACATTCAAAATACAGTACATTTACATAAACAAGCCATCAGTAAGCATAGTATGCATCTACACTTGGGGAAAAAAACCTTTCCAAATGCCATCATTAATATTTATCTTTGCAATATTCATCAGGGCAAATCACAGTAGCCAGTCTGGCACTGAATATTCTTGGATTTACTCAAGACTTCTGAAAAGACGTATGAGCTTACCGCCTCATCACTCATGGCTTCCAGCAGGGCTTCAACAGACTTAGTATGGCTGGCAGCTGTCATATGGTCCAGCTTCCAGAGCCACGTAACAGCAGACTTTACAGTATGCTCAGACACAGGAGTAGATTTCTGTTGCCACTTCATAAGATCCTGAGCAGCCCTGAAAATGACAGTAACTATAAATCAGAAATAGTGAGAATAATGCTGGCAGAGCAAAAGAGTAGAGCTCTGCTATTGTTACTATTCTTTTATATTCTTAAGTAATAATTACAATAAACCACAGATAGTAAATCTGGACTTGCAATAAAAGAAGTAGAGGAAAAATAAAACCCTTAGAAAAATACTGTAATTTTTATAAGATTTTTTGAGGCAACTGTTTCCAAAGTAGGGTCAAGAGAGCTAAAGTACTTTAAAAACAGTTCCAAATTCATATCTCCCCTTAACATAAAAACACAATGAGGTTTTTAAAATATGTGTATGAAAAAAAAAATCTGGCTGCCACAGGCCTCTTTCCAAAACTTGCAGCATGATCTTTGTGTCAGACCATTTTAACTGACATGCTTTTTTTGTAGTAGGGCTGATCTTTGTCTATCTATCAAAATAAAACTTGTGATGCTAAGCTTTTCGATATTTTAATTGATCAAAGGCCTTAGTCTTAATGGCAGTACAGAAGTACAAAGTATATGAGCATGTATGCCTGTGCATTTGTACATAAAAAGACAGAAAGCAAACGAAAAATCAATTGGTTCCAGTATCTGTGACATTCCAACAAGTAATATTTTGAAGAGTTTCCTGCAAATCTAAAAGACAAGTATGTTTTCCAATATTCTTTTAAAGTAATAATTTATATGCTATATTGTCCTTTGTCTCTCTCCTGTGAAAACAAACAAACAGATGAACACAATTATTGTGCCTCAATTTTTACTTGGCTTTGCAGATAATTTTTAAAGAAAAAGTTTTACATGCTTGTCAAAAGTTATCGAAGTTATCTTCTATTTTTCAAATCTCAGTTGTATCACAAACTAGAGAATTAAGATAGGGCACCAGAATCAAATATGTAGGACAAAGCTTGGGTAAAAGAACTTTAAGAATCACAGTGTAGAGGCAAGTTCCATTGTGGAACCAATTTTAAACTTACATGACCTAATTTGTACATAATTTTTTTCACAGTCACAAAACTCCATTCATCTATCCAAAGCCAAGCTTATGCATTCAAAGTTTTATGGATATATAAGAATTTTTGCAGAGATATATAAATTTGAATAGCTGCTTCTATTCTTCTATTTGTAACTAAACCCAAATTCATTTACTCATGTTAGGGAACAAGCACTTGTCTTTTGTTATGGAAATCTAGTATTGTTTCCTAGTTCTGCTACTGATTTCTGTGACCATGGAAATCTATAGAAATACAAATGACTACGCCTGTGCCTATGGCACTTGGGGTAGTGTACATTTAGCTGTAAGGCAGAAACCTGTAATGCCTAAAGACACAAGAATGCCTAGGCATTCAGATGGGACCTCACTGTTTCACTCTGTAATACTTAGATGCCTGAAAAACATTACTGCTATTGCAAAGTTCCCCTTTCTGTTTTCTGTGCTATATTTGTAGAAGGCATATATCAGTATTTGGGTTCTGTTAGCCTTTATCTGTTCCTCAGGGTAACAATGGTCTTCTGTTAAAAGGAAGTAGCAAGCTCAGCATGACTGTGGGTGAAACTTGGTGGAAAATATATAGATATTATCATGACATGAATCAGGACAATTTCCACTACAGAAAGTGTATTATCCAAACACATGTCTATATGATGTGTGACTCCTTTTTATTCTCCAGCAATGGGCAGACATCAACTTCTTTGTTCAGTCTGGAGAAGAGAAGGCTCCAGGGAGACCTTGTTGCGACCTTTCAGGTACTGAAAGGGGGCTTATAAGAAACATGGGGACAGACTTTTTGGCAGGGCCTGTAGCGATAGGACAAAGCGTAATGGTTTTAAACTAAAAGAGGGTAGATTCAGACTAGATATAAGGAAGAAAAATTTTACGATGAGGCTGGTGAAACACTGGCACAGGTTGCCAGAGAGGTGGTAGATGCCCCATCCCTGGAAACATTCAGGGTCAGGTTGGACAGGGCTTCGAGCAACCTAACTGAGTTGAAGATGTCCCTGCTCATTGCAAGGGGGGTGGACTAGATGACCTTTAAAGGCCCCTTACAATCCAAACCATTCTATGATTCTATGGTTCTATGATTCCTTCTGCTTACCAAATGAGGTTGAATTTGGCAATTTGGATCACCTGTTCGACAAGTACCATAGCAATTGCATCCCGACATAGATCAAATTCAGATGGAGCCGCAGTGCCACAATCCAAAACAATGACAATGCACCGTTCTTGAATCACTCCAAATATCTGCCGGCTGCCGCTGGTTAACCATTCCATTCGTTTCTTATATAGCTCAATGGCTCTCATTAGACAATCCACAAAATGAAGAATCAGTTCTTTTTTGGCTGTCAGCTTTATTTAAATAAGGGAGAGAAAGAAATTGAACATCAAAACAAATAATACAAATGCGGCCCCAAGCTTAGCACAGCTGCAATGGCTGGTTTGCAAGTGCCAGATATGTCAGCCAAGGTAGCAGTGAAAACAACCCATTTTTCTTCCACCATTTCAAGAGCAAATACTTGACAAATGCATCTAAGCTATAAAGAAAAGACATTGCATTTTGTCCTAATTGCTTTTCATAATCTTTTTATATGAGCATGGGACAGTGCCAGTGGGTTGTCTGACTTGTCTGTCTCAAGACTGGAGCAATTAGAATGAGCTGAACACAGGCTAAGATGTTGAAAGGGCTGCAGAGCAGATGGGTGAACAAACAAGGACACAGAAACTTTGTACCTTCTTAGACTAGAATTTTGACTGGCTCTTAAAATTTTGTACAGCGATACAAGGGAACGTATGGTTTGGTTCTGAGGCACTTCAATTGCCACCTTGTCTTTAGCATTTGAAAGGAAAATGTAAAATGTTTCCTGTTTGTACTATTGTTTCACTAATAATGTCAAGCATTACAGATTAACTATTTGAGGGTAGGTGCTCACGCAAATTTAGTTCAAACAACTGCAATCAACAACTAAAATTTCCAATACCACATCAGTAAAATAAGAAAAAACTAGATTCAGTACTAAAATTAAAAACAACAG